CCCCAAAACCCCAAAACCCCAAAACCCCAAAACCCCAAAACCCCAAAACCCCAAAACCCCTGCTGTTCAAGTATGTGTGGAAAGAAGTATATGGTATAAGTTTTAAATTAATTAGATTAAGGAAATTAGTGGCTTAGCACCTGGTTCTCTTAGAGCATCCCTTTGGGAGTCCCTTATCATGAGCTTTCCTCTCTGAAGCATACCATTTATACACTTGTTTGTAGGTAAGACCTGTATTTCAGGCCAAAGATTCAATTATCTCTCTCTTCCATTCATCATCAGCATCATAAGCTTGCTTTAAAATTTTAATTTGAGCTGGGGATTTTCTGATCTTCCTCTTAGAAGTGGTCAATTGGACTTCTCCAAGAGGCTTGATCTCAGTAGAAGCGTCAATATCAAAGAAGACATGGCTATCAAGGAAGCCGTTGAGGTCAGTGGAGCTGCTCTCAATCATGCTCTTGAGATGGCTAATGTCAAAGCATTGCATAATATCTACTGGCTTTTCCTCAACTTTCTCTGGAGTAGCTTCTCCTGAGAAGCTAGAGGTGACTGATTTAGTCTTAGTCTGATAGATCTTAGTGCTCTCGAAGCACTGAGAGTTATCATCACTGAAGTCATTCATCTTGCTGAAGGAGTAGTTGTCACTGCTGTTGAAGCAGTTGCTCTCCCAGGAGTCTTGCTGAGTATCAAATTGGTGCTCCTCTTTAAACATGTTGTCGAATTCTTTGTTGAAAGTAAACATTTGTATTTAGTTGTATTTGTTTGAAATTTGTTAATTCTCTTAATATTTATTAGTTTATATAGGTCAAAATTTTCATGTAAAAAATTTTTTTTGGGTCATCTATTTTGTAGTCAAAATTATAAGGTTTGGTAATTCGGCAAGTATACCATTTTACATGAAAAATTAATATTAATCAGGTTTACATGTGAATCAATCGTCAAAATAATTTTAGGGGTTTTGGGGTTTTGGGGTTTTGGGGTTTTGGGGTTTTGGGGTTTTGGGGTTTTGGGG